TGCATGCAGCTGCTTTCTCTTGCTCTTGTACATCCTGCTTTTCCCCCAGAGGAGAGGAACTCACTGCTCTGTTGGCTAAGTCACCTGGAGAAAACCATGGGTATAAAGGAGAGACAAAACTCAGGACCAGGCAGACTACAGACTACAGATAGCGGAGAACACTGCGACAACCTTGTGAGGCAAAACTACATGAGCGGACGCATGAATGGTTGGCGCAATCAGCAGCTTGTCCATCGGGACTCCGGCATYGGTGCCTCATTTGATATGCAGTCGTATGGTAGCTATGGCAGCATGGGGTCATCAATGTCTTCGATGATGCGCAAAAGTCGCTCAAACTCACTCACACCGCCACCAACTGTCGATGAACAGGACTCKATTATGGATGATTATCATGATTGTCTTCAAGTTGAAATCCGCCCGGGCAGGTCCCAGTCTTTCCCAGTCGATCCTCATCATCTTAATCAYCAGCTGTCTCCCCAGTCTTCTACTGAAAGTGAGCAGGACGATTCCTTTCTGTATCAAAGAGCTAGTAGTGTTAACGAAGAAGCTAAACCAGGAATGAAAGGTTAGTTGGTATAACTTGGGTCATATATATACAGTACTCTTATTTATCAAAATAAAATTGTCTGACAAGGGAAGTTTCACAGAAAGTATGTTTTCCTTTTAATTGAAAACTATCAATAATGTTGACAAGTCCGTCATTGCCGTCTACGGTATAAAGACTTSTGTTAGTAGTTATAATAAAATTATTGACTGGGTTTTCCCTWATTACCGTCTATAGATGTCCCTGCMTGGCTTAAGAGCTTACGGTATAAAGACTTSTGYTAGTAGTTATAATAAAATTATTGACTGGGTTTTCCCTTATTACYGTCTATAGATGTCCCTGCRTGGCTTAAGAGCTTACGACTGCACAAATATGGCAGTTTATTTGCTCAGCTGTCTTAYGAAGAGATGCTGGATCTGGATGATAAACACCTTGATAGCAAAGGTGTCACAAAAGGAGCGAGGAATAAGATATTGTTGAGCATAAAAAAATTGAAAGAAAGGGGAGATACACTCCAGCAACTTGAGAAGGTATGTTGAAATAAATTCACAACTTTCAAAAATGGCGCGATATGTCATGGTAGCTGACCAGGGCACTGTGGACGAAGCACTAAAATGAAGTCTCAAAGGCCAGCCTCTGTAAAGTAAACTTCAGTGGTGTCTAGGAAGAGTGTTTTGTTATGAACAACATATCAATATATCTTTCAAACTTT